AGCAACTATTTTAAAAAAGAACATGTATAATACACATATATAACTCACTGAATTTATAAAAACAAAAAACAAATTAGTCAGTAAAGTGTGTTAGTTTCATTGTCATCTAATGCATAAGTTTTTTTTTTTTTTTTTTCCGGCAACAAGCAAAAACACACAACACACCCAATCGTTATCTATTTATTTTTGCCCCCACGGAACTCACTCTATGATGTAAAAGGGAGGAGTGCTTATACCATATATGCCACCCGTTGATATAAAAATTAAAACCAGAAATATCGAGAAAAGAATGCATATCAATGGCAATCTCAACATAATAACGTTCAAATCAAAACCAAAAATGTATTATAGAGAATAAATTAAAGAATCTCCTCAACCATCAGTCAATCACATCCCACATCGCACGTACTGGAAGCAAACTTCGATCATAAGATAATTACACAGAGAGAGAGAGAGAGAGAGAGGCTAGCTTACTTCAGGCCTCTCTTCTTTGTCAATATCAGAGGCTTTAGAATCAAGCATCATAGCCTCAATGGTGAGATCTGCAGTGTGCTCGATCCAGTACTTCTTTTGAACCTCACGTTCTTCTCCTGCACAAACACACACACACACACACACACACACACACACACACAAAAATGAGCCAGGGTTTCATAAACTTGCATTGCCTAGAACTCTGAAATACATGCAGCGATGAAAAGTAATCAGCGATGGATGATAATGAGAAGTGAAAAGGCATATATATATATATATATATATATATATATATATATAGTACGTATATGGCTATACTCTGTTAATATGTATAGTACGTATAGTACGTGTGTGTATATATATATATATATATGTATATGTATATGTATAGTACGTATATTGTCCTGTACTTGCGAAAGCACGTATATGGGGAGAGAGAGAGAGAGAGGACAAAGCATGAGAGAGAAAGAGCATAAGAAATTAGTCCATATTTAATAATTTATAAATATATGTAGGGTTAAGTGCCAACAATACTTTCACTCCCTAATCTTAAAAAGTACGATATTATCTCTTCTAATTAATCTTCACAAAATATGTGAAAACACCTCTCAAATTAAATTTTGCATTTATATGACATAAAATAATATTTTAATATCCATTTTATCCTTTTACCCTATCCAAAATTTATAAGAAGGTATGTATAATATTTTATATATATATAGATTCTCATAATAAATGGCCGGGTGGCGGGTGTTATGTGCACACCTATATTAAACCTACTTTTTGATGTTTTTCTCCCTATATATATTTCCTCTGTAGCTTTAGTGTTTTGTTTTTTTTTTCAAAATATAGAACAAAAATATACTATGTAATATAACCATTTTATTTCTCATGGGTATTTTGTGCGCAAGAGGGATGTGATATACAATATAAGTAGAACGGTATTTTCACACTTAACCCTTTTTAACTTTTAGCCTTTTATGCCATTTCAACAAATGACTTTCTTTTCCTTGTTTACAATATAAGTATGGTGGAAGGGTATTTTCACACTTAACCCTTTCAACTTTTAGCCTTTTATGCCATTTCAACAAATGACTTTCTTTGTTTTTTTTTTTAAAAAAAATAATATGTAAAAAGGCTAAGTAAGGGTAATTTGGACATATCATATTAGGTGGGACTTATTGCACCAAATATTTTGGTGTGTTTTGTGCTAAGGTGTTTTCCACACTTAACAACATGTACTCCATTCGATTCATATTAGATGTCCATGTTTAGAAATTGAAGTTTTTAAGGAGATATACAATTAATACATTGTTCCCTTTTAAAATTCCATCTCCAAAACACACCGACTACAATTAAAAAATAAAAATAAAAATAAAAAATTGCAAAAAGTCATTCTTATTTTAAAGTTTGATCTAAACATAAAATATATATATAAAAAAAAATTACATATAAATGTCTAATTATTTTCACTAGCCAATTAATATGATATTTAGTAATCCTTTAACACTCGTGTCTCCCACTAATACAAATAAAACTCCCACTAGCACACCATTAATACCCCATATTATATATATATATATATATTGACTTGACAATGATTAATGGGTTCAAGGAGGTAGATGTTAAAAGGAGAGGAAAAATGATACTGGTGGATTTCGAACATGGCCAAAACCCGGAACAATACACCGGCCCCCTACTTTTGGCTTAGCACCGTACCTGCTATTACAAAAATTAATAACCTTCAAATTAAGAAACAACAACTCATGCATTTACGGTGTGTTTGGTAGAGTTGATTTGGAAGGATAGGGAAAGAAAAGAAAATAAAGGATAGTGTGGGAGTGTGTTTGGGTATATTAAATGGAGAGAAAAGAGAGGATAGGGAGGGCCGGCCCTCATTTGGTTTCTCTCCTAATTTGAGAAGATAGGGAGAGAAATGATAGTGGAGTAAGTGATTGATTAATAATACCAAAAATACTCTCCACAAATCAATATATAAAAAAGTTATTCCATTTATATTCCTTTATTTTTTGAAAGGGTAGGACAGTAATTTAGACACTATCATTTCTTTTCTTTTTTCTCCTATATCTTATCCAAGCAAGAATAACTATATTTTTTTTTTCTTTTCTCTCCTATCTATCCAAATACGAATATAAATTATTACTATTATTTCTTTTCTCTCCTAACTAGTATTATCATTTCCTTTCCTTTTCTTTTATTTTCTCCCTATCTATCCAAACACACCCTTAATGAAAAGAAAAGAACTCTCTTTTCATATTTTACAATATATGAAAAATATTTGAAAAAAAATTCTTAAACTTTTATAATATATATATATATATATATATATATATATATATATATATATATATATACATAAATTAAAAAAAAAAGGTAAGTGGGAAGGGAGGTGTAGGGAATCTAATATGATAGTTTTTCTTCACATGGCAAATGATGCCTTGCCAAGTCATGTATGAGATTCTCTTGTCCTATAGGCCTGCCCACACAATGTTTGTCGCTACTCCAAAAAATCATTTTTCAAATCAGATACTATATCAATAATGACATCCAATAATGTCATTTTTTTTTTCTCTCCAAAAGTCGAATAAATTATTGAATATTTAAATGGTCACACGTGGTATACATTGGTGGATTATTCAATTGGCCAACTACAAGTGCTGCTATTATCCTCCGGCAGGCTATCTCAAATATCGCTCGGACGAATGTTATGTGTGTCTTTTTTTTACTTTTATTTTTTATTTTTTATTGTGTTTCAATAATTCACATGTGTCACGTTTTACAATACACAATAAATAATTTTAGAATGTAACACTCTGAAATTATTTATTGCATTATTAGGTATTTATTTATTTTATTAAATCTATTGAACCACCGAGGCAAAAGAACTTGAAAGAAGGAAGAAGGAGAATCTCTACATCCCAACAACCTAACAATTGCATTATTGTTGGGTTGGCCTTGTCTTAGGCAATGGGGATATATAATTAGGAATCACAAATGTGCTAGTTTGGATCAAAGTATAAATAAACGAGTCAAAAACGAATCGGATATTAAATGGACAAGGAAATACATATATATAACTCAATAATTTAGAGGGAAGGGGTGAATAGGTATTTGAGAATACCAAAAATGGACTGGGCCGAACATGACCCAGATTGATATGAATGGGTCGGGTAAGAGAAACTGACCTGAACCAAGTCCTTACTGATCAGGCCCAGGACCGGAGGATCAGTTTGGAAGCCTGAGTTAAGACAAAGGGAAATGGGCCCAAAACGAAGATGAGCCCAAAAGGTCAGCCCAGCCTAAGGAAATTAGTTAAAAAGCTTCAAGAATGGTTGTAATAGTTGACAAATAGACTGAAAAGAGAGGGAAAAGAGAAAAAGAGACTTTTGAAGTGTAGAATTATTCTTTCCAAATTGAGAGAGCATTTTTCTTGCATCTTCAATGGCGCCGTCTATGAGAACGAGAAAGAAGGATTCAATTGATCATCGAGTTCGATCTTTAAAAGCAAATTGATCATTCTTTCGGAAGATTGAGATAGATCTGCGAGGCAGAAGCTAGATTTCTGGAAACTAGATCTTGATCTGGAAGATTGAGATTGGTTCTGAGGAAATTTGATCTTGATTGATGAAAACCAGATCCGACGAGTTTACGGCAACAAAGGATTAGATCTAGCTAACGGAGATCAGAATTTGGCCATTCCGAGGCCAGATCTGGTGCGATCACGTCGTTAGGGTTTGGATCTGATCAAAACTTCCCAGTTGATGACTCTGCTCTGCTCAGGAACGATGATAGGAGATGAAAGTTCTTGTACGCAGGAGAATGAACAACGATCAAAGCTCGACGAACTGATGAATATGATCAGAGTCGGAATGGAACGTCGAGAAGTTCCGGTAATTCCACAATCGCCTCCAATAGGAAAGAGAATTTCGCAGCCAAATGTTGCTCGTTAGGGTGAATAAAAAGGAGGTGTTCACTTGGATCTTCGTCGCGAAGAGATCAGGCCAGAAGATTTACCGCCAAATATTCATCATGTGGAAGATCGAGAGGGATCTGTCCATTTGGATCCACATCGTGAACGGATTAGGCGAGAAGAAGCAATGGAGATCGATCCGCACCGTGAACAGATCCGTCGAGAAGAAGCCACGTCGTTTGATCTTTACCGCGAGAAGCTCAGGTGAAAAGAGGCAATGGAGTTCGGACGTAGTAAAGCAACATCACCGTGGCAAAGACAGTTCATGGAGCAAAGATTGTTCGATCCGCCTTACCGGCCTTCAATGGCTACGTATGACTACAGAAGCTCGGATAGGAGATCCGTAGATCAAAGGATTCTCTCAAGGTTTCTGAGGGAGAATGAGGCTCTCCGTTCGGCAGCACGAACGGTTGATTCACCTTTTAGTGATGAGATCCTCAATGCTCCGAATCTGAGGAAGTTTTCCATGCCAGTTTTCATTCTGTTTGATAGAACAAGTGATCCAATCGATCATGTTTACCATATCTAAATGAAAATGGCTCTGAACACGGAGAATGATCCTTTGATGTGCAAATGCTTTCCTACAAGCCTAACCAGACCGACGATCAATTGGTTCAAGAATTTGGCAAGAGGCTCAGTCGATAGCTTCCGGGACCTGTGTGACAAATTCATAAGCCAGTATTATGGGAACAAGCACCCCGCCAAAGATATTTCAAGTCTGTTCACAATGAAGCAGCATGAAGAGGAGCATCTCCAGGCTTTCCTCACCAGGTTCAACCTCGTTAAGAGCATGGTAATAGAATGTCATCCATCCACGGCAGTTCGAACATTCAAACTAGCAATGAACCAAGGGATACTGTTCCACACAAGTCTGGTGGTAAATACGCCGAAGACTATGGACGAGCTGAACGAAAGAGCTGATGGTTTCGTGCGCGTGGAAGAAAAAGAAGTTACTAATGCAAGGAAGACTTCAATAATCTCGACGGAGGAGAAGTCCAAAACCAAGATCCGGCAAAAACAAGCTCCATCACAGCGTCAGGCCTCCTGGAAAGCAAAAAAGAGGCCTAAAGAGGAGGAGTCGGTCACTCCACTCAAAGTCACCCTAGCAAGGTTGTATCAGGAGAACAAAGATAAGTTTAGCTCTCCCTTACCAATTAGACAACCTCTTTAACAGAGAGATCAATCTAAACATTGTGCTTTTCATAGTGATTTTGGTCATTAGACTAATGAATGCAGGAACTTACGGAGGCAAGTGGAAATGCTGATAACAAAGGGAGAGTTCGCAAGGTATATTCAAGGGCCGGCAGTGGAGCAGAACCGACCGACTGAGCAAGTGAAAAGAAATCAGAAGCTGAACTATCATATCGCCCAGCCAATTCGAATAATAAATGCAATTCATGGCCAACTTGAGCAGACCGAAGAGTCAAAAGAATTGCTCCGAACGCGTCTCCGTCAAGCACAAATGAAGAGGAGGATAGGCAGTGTAAATGCTCTGCACCAGCAGATCGAGCCGGCATAGATAAAGTTTAACAGAACAAACCTACTGCGAGTTCAAATCCCTCATAAAGATCCTCTGGTCGTGAGCTTAACGGTGGCAAAGTGCTTGGTACAAAGAGTTTTAATTGATCCAGGAAGCAGTGCGAATGTCATGCCAAGAATAACGTTTGACCGGCTCGAAATCAAGCCAGAAAAGCTCAAACCCACCGAAAATCCACTGTTGGGGTTCGATGGGAAACGGGTAGAGCCCATTGGTATGGTAGAATTGTCAGTACGAGCTGTTGAAAGAGATTTGACAGAAAGCTTTGTGGTCGTCAAGATCCATCTGTCCTACAATCTCCTGATAGGAAGGGGGTGGATTCACAGGGTCCAGGGTGTCCCGTCGACTCTGCACTAGGTGATGAGATGCTTAAGCCCAGATGTGAGCAAGGTGATTGATATCCATGGGGACCAGGTTGCGGCCAAAGAGTGTTACTCGGTAACTTTGAAAGCTGCTGGGAAAGGAAAAGCTCTCGTCCAATCAGATAACCCAATATAGCAATTACAGGGTCCTCCACCCAGAGATAGTGAGGGGGAGGAGGAGCCTTCGGTTCTTACCAAAGAACCCCTTGTTGAGGTACAAGTTGATCCTCTAAGGCCAGACAGAACTACAAGAGTGGGGTCAGGACTTGCAAAGGAGGAGGAACGCTAATTAGTTGATTTCCTGTTTCAGAATACAGACGTTTTTACCTGGAGCCATTCAGACATGCCAGGGATTGATCCCTCGGTATCTTGTTATTCCTTCAATGTGGATCCGAGCGTCAAGCCTGTAAGATAAAAGCAGAGAAGGTTCGCCCTAGAGCGTAACCAAATAATAGCTGATGAAGTTGACAGGTTGCTGGAAGCAGGGTTCATTAGAGAAGTTCAATACCCGTCCTGGCTCTCGAACGTGGTTGTAGTGCAAAAGAAGAATGGGAAATGGAGAGTTTGCATTGACTTTACCAACCTGAATAAAGCTTGTCCGAAGGATAGTTTTCCATTACCAAAGATTGATCAAATGGTGGATGCCACGATGCCACTACTGAATATGAACGACAAACCTTTCTGGATGCTTACTCAGGTTACAATCAAATTCCTATGGATCCGAACGATGAAGAAAAAAACTTCTTTTATCACTAAGCAGGGGATCTATTACTACAAGGTCATGCCGTTTAGATTGAGGAATGCTGGGGCCACCTACCAAAGGTTGGTTAGTAAGATTTTCAAAAGTTAAATGGGTGAAACTGTGGAAGCATACATTGATGACATGGTGGTAAAGAGTAGAAAGAAAGACCATCATTTGCAACACTTACAAGATGTGTTCAAGGTATTGAAAAAGTATTGTATGAAGTTGAATCCGACCAAATGCTCGTTCGGTGTGGGTTCTTGGCAATTTCTGGGGCTTATGGTCAACAACAAAAGGATTGAAGTTAGTCTAGCCCAAGCGGAAGCTCTGATCAAGAATGCAGAACCAAGCACGGTTAAAGAGGTACAAGCTCACATCGGATGAATAGCAGCACTGAGTCGATTCATTTCTAAGCTGTCAGATCGCTGCAAACCATTCTTTGATACAATAAGAAGCAACAGAAGGCAATCTTGGGGGGATGAGCAACGACAAGCACTGACCAGGTTGAAATAATATATGTGGAACCCTCCAGTCTTGACTGCCCCAAAACCAGGTGAAAAGCTCTTCCTGTACATTGGCGTGTCCAGCATTACAACAAGTGTCGTTCTGATACAGTGTGAAGAAGGTAAGCAGTTCCCAGTGTTCTATGTTAGCAAAACAATGGCCGAGCTAGAAAGAAGGTACTCAAAGGCCGAATGAGTGATCCTATCATTGGTAAATGTAGAGAGAAAACTCAGGCACTATTTTGAATCCCATCCTATCATCGTTCTGACCACTTTTCCTATAAGGGTGATCCTGCATAAGCTGGATCTATCAGGAAGAATGACAAAGTGGGCCATAGAGTTAAGCTCATTTGATATAACGTATGAAACCAGAATAACCATCAAAGGACAAGCGATGGCTGATTTCCTACTAAAATGTGATGTAGAAGACATAGAGGAGGATCTTAGGGATTCTTCATGAAAGCTCTTCATGTGATACCCTCAGATTTCCGGATGCGGGTGGGCTAGGCCCACGCCCGAATACCCGAGGATATCAAAAACAAATGGTAATAATCAAACACTGAATATAAATATGATTAACAAGACTAAATAAAAACGATGAAAAAAAGCTAAAACAATAAACCAAGGATTAATCCTCAGAATAACTTTCATTAATAAACAATTTCTTCTGATACAAGTAATCCTCCAAATAATAATACAACTCGGGAATTGTGATGGCCCTGGTTTTTAGGACAGTGCGTCCTGTGATGAACCGAACGTAGATCCGATAACGAATCCAGAATGTGGAAACAAAAGATAAAACAACGGTCTCTAGAGATACAACACGTCTCTAAGACACCAATGTGACCCTCAGTGAGGCCACAGAACCCAAAGAAAATAAATTCGGATGTGACGTTTTAAAAATAGACAAGAATGAACCTAGGGGAAAAAAGGTCATTTCCAACGTGAAAGTGGGTGCTACTGAGTACACCATTAAAAAGACAACGAAAAATCAATAAACTTAGACTCAAGAATCACTTAATTCAGAGTCCGGATGAAGAACATATGGCTAATGGAAGAAACAGGGGTAAAAAGGTCAAAATAGTCAACCCATGAACATCTAACCAGTTACCAAACTTTCCTAACCGGTTAGGAGGCCAAAAATAATGACCACAACACTGCCCCAAGTCATCTAACCGGTTACGAGAATTCACTACTCGCACACTTGTATTGAAAGTCAGCAAAAAGCTAACAACAGGGGTTTTTTGGGAAAAAATGGATTTTTGAGAGCCAATATTACATTTTTTTTGGAAAAACACAAAGAAGAAACCCCCCTCAAAATCAAGTTTTTTACTTGACAATGTAGAAGAAAATGAAAAAAAACTCACTGTGAAATACCCAAAATGCTCCTCTATGAAATCAGGTCATGAGGGTCAAAAAGCTACTAAATAAAAAACAGAAAACTGAACTTCGTGAGGGATTTCCGGTACCAAGACGACATTTTCTGGAAAAACACGAAGAAGAAACCCCCCCCTAAAATCATGTTTTCTAAGTGACTATGCCAAGGCTAGAATTTATTTCTCACAAGAAAACCCCAAAATACCCTAAAATCAGATTATGCAATAAAAATGCAAAATGAGCCCATAGGAGGCTCAAATCACCAAGGATGAGGTTTTTCTTGAAAACGATCATGCACGCAAATGTAACTTATCTATTACGACATGCTACAATGGTCCATGGCTTAAAAATACCGCCGATGCAAAATCCGACCCCCCAACGACTGAAAAGGCGAAAATGCACATGAAATGAAAAATTTGAAAACCAAAATTGACAAATGATTTCAAATTACTGTTTGGCCCTTGGACACACTTCAAACATGATTAATGAGACCCTATGAAAGAATAAAAATGTAATTCCCACACCCGATACAAACATGGTGAAACAATGACTCAACATTTTTCAATATTTTCATAATATTTCATGAAGTCAAAAAATTACATAGGATACAAAATACATGTCATTGGCCTCCGGCCTCATCTCATACATGTCAAATACATTACAAAATGTGTACTTACGTATACATTACATATATGGAATCAAATATACAAGTTTTGACATATGAGCTACAAATAGCATTTCATGCTAACATTTGCATAAATCACGAACGATAAAACACTTAAAGAACTTAAATTCATCGAAACGATCCAGGGATATTGTGCATCCCAAACCAAGGCATCCGTACCTGACAAATCACCCGATAACTTTGGGGTGAGTAAACAAGTTACTCGCAGGGATTGAGCATGCATAGACTCAACTTTTTTTTTATAGATTTTTACATTAACATGAAACAATTCAAAAAGATCATGCCACCTAACGTCTATGTCAAAGTGAGACTCAGAGATCATCCTAAGCTACGATATCTCATTTCTAGTATAAGTCACATCGTTCAGGCAACTCAAAAACATAGAAGCATGTTATACAAGACAACAAGATATAGATTCTCAAAACCATCAACTTGAAATCTAAAGTATGAAAACAACTAAAGTGGGTCATGCCACCTAACGTCTATTTTCCAAATGAATCTATATGATCATTCTTAAGCTACATTTGAATATTTAAAACACAATTCATCATATCGATGCAACTTAACCAACATTGGAACTTCTAGTACAACGTATAAAGCACAATTTCTCAAAGTTAACATCTTGAAACTTAAAATGGGAAATCAAATAAAAAACAATAAGTTACAACATCATCTAGTTATCAACTTGGAATTGAAATGCGAAATCAAATAAGGTGGATACTTGGACATCACGCTGAATCAAACCGACACCATAGTTACTTTAGGGTTACTAGCCCATGGGTAACCACCCTATGTGCGCACTAAACTATAGGAGGACATTCCCCCATACTAGAACCATGTCCTAGCCATTGCTAAACAACGACATCCCAAGTTTTCAACCATATCCTAGATATATATATCAACATGTATTGTAATGACTCGGATTTTCACGGATATTTTTTTTCCGTTGTCTTTCCTTTTCGAGT